AAGTTAAAAGATTAAAACTCATAAAACAAGTTTTAAAAAGAGACTTTTTCATTTGATAACATTTTACATGATGAATTATGCATAAAAATAGAATTGGGCTGAAAGGTCTATTGCTTTATTAACTAGTCAGGTTGTGTATCATGTTTCTTAAAAGGTACTAAGTAACTAAGTAAAAAAGTAACTAATTACTTTTGAAAATATGTAATCAGTAAAGTAACAAGGTTACTTTCTTGGATAAGTAATTAGAAACTAATTACTTTTTTCAAGTAACTTGACCAACACTGTATACAACCCATTCTAAAAGACAGTTAAGGAAATTAAAATTAGAGCTTCCCCATGTTTGATTCCTTAGAACCCTCCCTCGCTACAACCAGCCCACTCTATCACTGAGCCTGTGGATCTCACAAGAGCCCGTGGATCTCACAAGAGCCCAAGGGTACTGCACTGCTTGAACCTGAACTTGAGAGTTCTGAATCAGAGTCTGAAGGTCCCACACCACCACAATCCAAACCCGATATGCTCATGTTGCCTGAGCCCGTGTGTCTCCCAATCGTCTCCCAAGCAGTTGTTTTGGAATTGGTGCTAATTTTTTACTTACTTATGTCTGTAGGGGTAACAGCAGACTGACGTTCACTTTTGTTCTTTGTGTCTTCAGGAACCTGACTGCACATATAGAATGACAAAAATACACATAAAAATGTATTCTGGTAAACAGAATGTGTAGTGAGGACATTTCTTTTTCTAATATTTTAACTCCATTGTTGGCTCAGACTCCCACAGTTGCTCCAATTTATTTAGTATGTTTCTCTCTAAAAGTAATGAGAGGATAGCATTTTACTAATTTCAGCACTTTCATAAACATAAGCTATAAAAACCAAATGAGTATAATTGAAGAGAAAACACTGAGCATGATTTTCCTACTCATTTGCAGTATTTGCTGTTTAGGGTAGGTGCTCTCATGGGCATGTCCATGTCTTGTTGACAGTGGCTTGAGCTTGTCAAGGAAACTAAATAACTTGTTTGGCACGTTAGTAATGACAGGGTTGATGACAGAGAGGGTAACTGCCATGTCCGGTTTAACAAAACAGACAAGTTGAACAGTTGCAGGCTCCACCAACACAATCAAATGAACATTTCTCAGAAATCACTTGGTTGACTGAATGTTTCACATATACACATATCACACACACGTGTGTGTGTGTGTGTGTGTGTGTGTGTGTGTGTGTGTGTGTGTGTGTGTGTGAGATATCTATCTATATATATCTCTATCTATCTCTCTCAAAGTTTGGATTTACAACATTATAAATGAAATGTGCTTTATTTGGAAGCCCCCCCTTTTTGACAAGTTGTGCGTGAGACTTCACAGCACAGCAGCAGCAAGCAGGTGCACTGAGACCCATCGCATGCACTTTTAGAAAAAAAACATCGGTGCAAATTATAAGTCTATATCATGATGTCTGGTGCTTTTGTGTTTGTTGGTTTGTTTTTATTTTGGAAGCGTGTTATTAGATGCCGATCCAGCTAGCAAGAGAATCCCCCACAGCCCCGCCCCTCTCTTTCCTTTGCCGCAAGCAGCAGGCGCACCCCGCAAACGAAGTGTGCCTTTACTCCCCGCAAAGAGGCGACAGAAAACCGACTGGTGCCTATGCAACTGCCCTGGGCAACGGCCCATGTCGCCCATATCAAAAACCGCCACTGCTGCTGTAAACACATACAGTTAACAGTCTCACACTGTGCTCAAAACTTAATTCAGCTGTGATTTCTTGTACAGATATGTTTATATACTTTTTTTTTTTTTAAATCAAGTTGTAGGCTTATTTTACTAGTTTATTAACAGCTGTTTTTCACAGATATGTGGTCCTCACACAACAGCTAATGCAAACTTGTCATTTTGTGATTATGATCACTACTGTAGATTAAAAAGAATATTAAAAAGCATTTAGACAAGCTTGCCCTGCACCATCTACAGCAGTAATACTGATCCATAAATATACTGATGAGGAACATTTTAACAGAAACATCACTGGAAAAAGAACAACATTAAACACCCTACCGTTACAGAAGAGAGATGTCAATCAAATGCTGTCATCTAATTTTCTTTTTGTCTCTACAGTGTTGGCAAAGACATTATTGTACACAAATCACCTCCTTTCAGTCGTTGTGGCAGTGTGGTGCGGTAAGGAGTCTGACCACTCCTTTTATATTCTTATGTAAACACTTTCACTTTCACTAAGGACCATGTGATTCTTTGTAAAACATTTAAATGTTAACTGCCTGAGTGCACAAACGTTTTCTACAGATCAGCAGAGGTCTCAAAAGTACAGCCTTTCTTACTTAAGTAGATACAGATACCCGTGTTAAATAAATATTCCAGTAAAAGTCTAGATATTGAAGGAACTTCTTTACTCAACTAAAAGTGAAAAAGTACAAGCTCTGAAACGTACTCAAAGTAAGAAAGTAAAAAGTAGTTCCTTTGAGGATAATTCTACTTATCCTTTTTTCTTAGTAAAATAATGAAATATTAGTACGCGATATACTTTACTATACTATAAGTATTTGAGGAGGGGGGGAGTTTTGATGCAAGAACCCCCAAGCACACATGGTGCGGCTGGGCAAAGTGCAGCATCCCATGTTCCAAGCCAGGTTGTAGTACTGCTAGTGTCTACACCTGTGGGCCAGGGGCTGCTCGAGGGTGGGCCGATGACGCTACCCCATTTTCATCCGCTCTCCACTGAGTCATCGGGGGGTTCTAAGCAGGATGCTCAGAGTCCGTCTGGCTCGTTTTCAGCTGGAAAAGGAGGAGCGTGAGAGAGAGTTCCAGCTGAAAACGAGAAGCTCAGATGTTTGGAGGCGGAGCTGGCTAGGGAGGTCGAGCTGAAGAAGGTCAAGACGGAGGCAACGGACAAGCTGCGAGAGTTGGATCGCCAGCAGGCCTCCTCCCCTCCCGTGGCAACCCCTCTTTTACAGACAGGGGTGCCGTTTGACATAGGTAAAAATAGTCATCTGGTCCCTGTGTTTCGTGATGCTGAGGTGGATGTGTGTTTTGAATCGTTTTAGCAGATAGCGACAGCCTTGCGTTGGCTGCGGGATGCGTGGGCTATCCTGCTGCAGTGCAAGCTGGTGGGCAAGGTGTAACGCGGTTAAAGGACCAGGGCGCCTGACTGCAGCTTCATAGAAAAGGAGCAATCAGAAGTAGTTTCGACTATGGAGCCTGAGTGTGTGAATAAAACACACACACACACACACACACACACACACACACACACACACACTATAAGAAATATATAGACAGATGTACAAAAAACTAATACATGCATATATAACAAACAAAAATAATGTTGACAATACAAAACAGCTTATTAGGTTCCAAAAGGAGGTGGGATGAGGTTTAGTCCAGTATGAGATTTAGTTTAGTTCCATGGACCTGTGATAGGTCATGTGTTAACAGTTTAATTCAGTCCATAGGTTTACGATTCCTACCGCAACGTAGCGGTGGTCGGGTGGCTCGCCGTCCCGCGCTGATCAGGGCTGATTGCTGGAGAAAAAAAAAACCTGACCTAAACAAGGTCAAAAACGTAAATTATCATTCACAGAAGAAAATGAAACAGTATTCTACTGCTGTGACAAAATAAATGCATAAATCCATAAATAACAAAGTCAAGTAATTAATGCCATGTTTCATACAACAATCAATAACCAAACAAATGATAACATATCTCTTATAATGACTATCATTCAAAATACTATTACAAAACAACATTCTCATGGGTCCCATCAAAGTATATCAGCAAAAAAGCTAATAAACATTATCCAAAGTTAATCAAATATATTTACAAAACTCATTTAATCACAGGTGTTGCGCAACAGATTCAATAATCTAAATGGAATTTAACTCAATGCAAAATCTCATAGGCCGTTTTGGCATTTCATCAGAAAAGTAACAAAAAACATCCAAAACGGACAAAACTACAAAAATCAAATCACTCGTTCAACTCTAGATACGTTAAGTCAACATTCGGCCATAGTGGAATAAACAAAAACAACAATATTCAATAAATAAAAATAGTAAGTGCACTTACTGTCGCTAGCCTAGCATTAGCTTACCGGCGTTTTAGAATGCGCGACCACGGCTCCGCATTTACATTAATTGTGACCAAACGAAACAAACAAATAACTCACCGTTGAGTCGATTGTGAGGTGGTGTAAAGATGAATGAATCGGCCGGGTTATTGCACGCTGTCAACGAGTATGTAGTGTAAAATTTGTCAATATCTGACAAGCACGCCAACCACAGGGACAACAGCAACCAGGGAAGCAGGGAACATACAGCTGATTGACCCGGAACTTATACAGGGTTCATTCCCGCCACAATAAAGGGATTGGCGGAAGTGGGGTCAGACGTTATCGTGGTTACAAAGACTCAGGAAGTTTGTTCCTCGTTGTCCGCTGAGTGCAGTTTGGATTATGATAAACTGAAAAGTGCTATCCTGTCAGCCTACAAACTAGTCCCCGAGGCTTGTAGGCAGCGATTTTGGGTTGAAAAAGGTGCAGGGTCAATCCTACCTGAATTTCGCAAGGGAAAAGAGTGTCCTTTTTGACCGATGGTGTATGGCCTGTAAAGCTGCAGACCTAGTTTCAGTACGGGAGTTAATTCTCATTGAGGAATTTAAAAACTGCATCTCCGAGTGGATGGCAGTATATCTGAACGAACAAAAAGTCTCCACTTTGCAGCAGGCCGCACAACCCTAACACAACCCCGCACAACCCTAACACTGGCTGACGAGTTGTCAGCCAGTGTGAGGGTTGCCAACTCCCTGAAAAATAAATAAGGGACACCTCGTGGCCAGGGCCGGGCGACCCAATTGTCTTCACTCTTCCCTGTGTGGTGAATTTTTTTTAGCTCTTTTTTTGTGTGTGAAATTTTTTTTTTAACCATTTGACTTGAAGTTGATTTAAGTAGATGCATATTCTTTGTGATATGAACACATGGGAAACAAATGATCATTTATCCATTTATTTTTAATGCAAAATGACAACATTAACACAATCAAATAGGTCTCTTTCCTAAACGAAAGACTGGTACGCTTCACTTTTTATGCAAAATGACAAAATTAAAACAAAGAACTCTGTCCTGCTTAACCTAAAATTATCTAAATTAATAGAAAACAATAGAAAGAAAAACATTCTTGTAACAGTGCACATTTAGTGCAATTAGAAAAGTGCAAAAAAAGTCTGTGGAACACCTGTAAACACAACATTTGTGCCTCAAAGGCCTTGACTGTAGCTGAAAGTTGAAGTAAAAAAACCCAACAAACTCATGAACTCAAAAGCTCAATGCTGCATTATGTGGAAACAGACTACTATTTCCATTTGTATTTTTTTTTTGAGCTCTTGCTGCAGTTAGGAGTTTGTCTTTCAGTACTGCAGAGTAAAACTCTGAGCAAGACATATCATAATTTAGACTGACAATGAGCTCACTTCTAATTAATTCAGTAGAACATTTGTTCCGCACATCAGTCCACTTATTCTTCATAAGAGAGAAAATCCTCTCCTCAAACCTAGTGGAAGATGGGATGCTGAGTACAAAGGATACAACAGCCTGCATATTGGGGAGGTCAACTGCCTGAAGAATTTCCATCCACTTCTCTGCTGTTCCCTTGGACTGCCACTTTTCCTTCTCCTGATGTTCTTTGGCGAGGTGCTTCAGAAGGCTGGTTGCAGTGACACACTCTTCATAAAGCTCATCCATAGAGATGTTTAACCTGCCAATAGAGATGAGAAGTTGACCTAAATCCTAAGTGGTACATAGAACATTTACAGTGGTAAATAAATGGAAAAAATGTATTGTATATGTTTATAACGTTGTATAGCATTTAAACAATACAATAAGTATAGTTTATTTATTATGTATTTATCCATCCTTATATTAAGTATATGAACTCTTTGAATTTGTAAAATAGTGTATAAAAGATTGCATGCGTGTGTGTATATACACTCCAAACAAAGTTAATGATTATGGTTTTATTTATATATGTTATCTATCAATTGTATTTGTTTATTTTTAACCATCAATACTATTAAAACATGGTTTATTATTTCACTGGCAAATGTTTTCTTCTTACCTGCCAGCCAGGTGATGCCGTTCAATGATCTTCTCCATGTCATCAAAGGAAATCTTCCCAGATGCTAGAGAGAGGGGCTGCAGGTGGAAAAGCCAGTTTTCTTCTGAAAAGTCAAACCACTTCCGGACATAACTGATGGCAGTGTCTAGGAAGGCTGTAAACTCCTGCCTGGCACCATCAGCATCAGATGGCGAGAGACGCTGGAGCTTTTGTCTTGTTAGGTACCCGTAGAATCCATCATCTCTTCTCTGAATAATTCTTTTCAGGAAACACTCCATGATGGAATAGAGGTCAACAGACGTGGTTACATTCTTCTCCAGTTTTTTCACCACTTCTTCAAACAGACACATGACATTATTACAGAAGAGGAGGTAGACTTCCACAATGTCTGCCTCTCCCTCAACTCCAGCAGCATCTTCTGTCAACTTCAGCAATTCCTTCAGGCGCCTTGGACATTCCTCACCAATGCTGATGAGATATGACTTCAGCGGGTCCCAGTTCTGCAGCAGGCGGGTGATTGCAGGGTTGAGTGACAGCCATCTCGTCACAACATGGCGCAGGGTATCATGGAATTCAACGTCACAAAATTCACAGAACTCTTTCAGGGACTCTCTCCTTTTGGCAGAGGTGGAAAAGAAGCTGTATAT